TTTGTACTCGTTTAAAAGCCGTTATATACCCACCTGTGGACCAAGTAGCGTAAGACAACCTCAAAAACAATTTTATTTATTTATTAAGTTTGTTTTCAATAATATTAAAATCACAACTTTCATTCTTTAATTCTTTTATTACAATAAATAATAATTTAAATAATTAATATTATTAATAACGATTAATATTTAATTAATCATAAATAAATCGCCATCTATTGTCATAATCATCAAACTATCCTTCAATGTTTAGTTTGTTGCATTTTAGGTTATAATATTAATATTTTAAAAATAAAACACCATTATTGTTATTAGAAACAACAATAATTTTATGCGATTAATTTTAAAACAAACTAATTCAATATCATAAAATAAAATAATACCGCCATCTGTTATCATAATAACGAATCATCAAAGTTTGATGCATTTTAGGTTATAACTATCATTATTTAAATCAAAAATGATTGAAGACGTTCAAAGACATTCAGTGCACACCTTAGTGTTTCGTTCTTTAAAACGTTCACATGATATGTTCCTCTCAAACCAAGGGTTATTACCGCCTGTGGACCAAGTAGCGTAAGACATAACCTCAAAAACTTTTTTATTTGTTTATTAAATTTGCTTTTAATAGGGATAATATTCGCCGAATGATAAAAGCTCGTGATAATTACGGATTAGTTTTTGATGATGTAAAGAAAATGAAGGCAATGAAGCTGCTACAAGAAGTTGAAAGTGGGCCATTACTTCCTTCCGGAGCGGTTCCTTTAAATGACAGTGAAGGACATACTATGGATAATCAAATTGTACCTTACACAGATACCTCTTTGATTCAACGACCTACAGAACAAAGTCAACAGAACCAATTAAGTAATTTAAAAAGGAAAGTTCCAACAATGCCAAAACCTAAATGGCATGCACCTTGGAAGTTGTATAGAGTTATCGCGGGGCATTTAGGTTGGGTTAGGTGTGTGACAGTAGAACCGGGGAATGAATGGTTTGCCACTGGTGCTGCTGATCGCATTATAAAAATTTGGGACTTGGCCACAGGGCAATTAAAAGTTTCTTTAACAGGTCATGTTAGTACAGTTAGAGGTTTAGCTGTAAGTAGTCGCCATCCATATTTATTTAGTTGTGGGGAAGATAGGCAAGTGAAATGTTGGGATTTGGAATACAACAAAGTTATAAGACACTATCATGGGCATTTATCAGCTGTTTACTCATTATCATTACACCCAACAATTGATGTTTTATTAACAGCCGGTCGGGATTCGACCGCTAGGGTTTGGGACATGAGAACAAAAGCCAATGTACACACATTAACCGGACATACTCACACAGTAGCGAGTGTTATCACTCAATCTTCAGAACCACAAGTTATAACTGGTTCTCATGACACAACAATTAGATTGTGGGATTTAGCTGCTGGCAAATCAATTTGTACATTAACCAATCACAAAAAGAGTGTAAGAAGTTTAGTGTTTCACCCCACGTTATATATGTTCGCTTCTGGATCTCCAGATAATATCAAACAATGGAAATGTCCCGATGGGAAATTTATACAGAACTTATCCGGTCACAATGCCATCGTTAATTGTTTAGCAGTTAATCCTGAAGGAGTTTTAGTTTCTGGGGGTGACAATGGGACTTTGCACTTTTGGGATTGGAGAACCGGGTATAATTTTCAAAGATTACAAGCTCCTGTTCAACCCGGATCGATGGATAGCGAAGCAGGGATTTTTTCGATGATTTTCGATCAATCTGGGTCGAGATTAATTACCACCGAAGCCGATAAAACTATTAAGATTTATAAAGAAGACGATACAGCCACCGAAGACAGCCATCCAATTAATTGGAAACCGGATATATTGAAAAGACGAAAGTTTTAATTTTTCTCCAAATAAAATTTATATAAAATACAATATATGAGGTATTAACAATTATTTTTGTTTAAATCCAATCCTTGGGGTTTCTTAATACTTCTAAAAGTTGTGCTTCACGGGATTTATCCGCTGGTTTATTCATGTATTCCCATTTCTAAAATTATAAATTTTAATATGTATTCATTTTTATTAATTAATAATTAATAACAAACCGCTGTTAATGGTAGAGACATCAAAATACTTTCAAACCTAGCACCAGGTGTGTATAATCCAAATTTTGTACCACGATCATAAATCAAATTGAATTCTACATAACGACCCCTTCTAATCAATTGCCAATCTCTTTCAGCTGAGTTGTATTCTTTATTTTTATTTCTTTTAACTTAAATAAAAGATTAGTTTTTAAAATTAATCTATAAGTACGAAGGATTTCACAGCCTAATAGTAACTAATAGTAGCACTATCACTAGACCTAGAATTTAAAACTTTCGGGTTAAGCCGTGCGTCTTTTGAATGCCATGTTTTGTTCCTCAGAACCAAGTTCGAAATGACGAAATCGGTAAAACTTTGGACAATAAATACATGAAAAGATCATTAATAACTAATTATACTCTATAAGTACGAAGGCTTTCACGGCCGGTGTGAGTTAAACTAAGATTACAACTAAAACTAGAACTAACACTAGAAACTTTCGGGTTTTGCCGTGCGTCTTTTAATAAAAGGTTTGACGTTTCGGATGCCATGTTGCAACCTTCTTCAGAAACTGGTTCGAAGTGACGACATCNATTTCAAAATTAAAGCAAAATTTATTACTAAACTAACAAACCAAAAAAACAAGTAGCATTAATTCACATTAAATTTTCGAAAACTCCACCACCCACTTCGATACACTTATTTGCGCGTTTATAAATGGACCTGGTAGCCAGTTTCAGTGAACGATGATTCGCTCTAATGAACGCCGCAACATTAAGAATACGACCTAGTAGCGCATCCCTTGTGTCCATTTTCCTAGCATAAACTAAGGACTTCATCCACCCCCAAAGACAAAAATCTAGGGGAGTGAGGTCCGGTGATCTCGGTGGCCAAGGGTGCGGGCCTCCTCTGCCAATCCAGCGATCGCTGAAACACGTATTTAGAAAATTCCTCACATTATTTGAATAATGAGGGGCTCCATCATGTTGGAAGATCATACGTTGTCGAATATTCAAAGGTACATCGTCCAATATTTCCTCTAAATGGTCTTCCAAAAAATGTAAATAACCTTCCCCAGTAAGACGGCCATCCAACACAAAAGGACCAAACAACTGATCATTTAGAATGCCGCACCATACATTAATACTAAACCGATGTTGGAAATTGTGTTCTTGCGTGGCATGNAGCGCTCGGATGTTACTGTTACAGCGCGGTTATTTTCATCCTCAAAAAAATATGGACCAATAATACCAAAAGATCCTACTCCACACCACACAATAACTTTTGGATAATGGAGGTTCTGTGTAAAAGATTTCACGAGGATTTTCATTTGACCAGTATCTAAAATTCTGTTTATTAACCATGTCGTTCAAATAAAAATTTTCTTCGTCGCTCATTAGGAGATTGTGAATTGCTCCTTGATGTAAATCCAAAAATTCTTGACAAAATGCTAACGTTGCTTCTTTATCTTGATTGCTAAGGTGCTGTGCCATTTGGTACTTATAGGGATGAAATTTTAAATCCTTTCAAATAATTCGATCTAAGCTTCCCTTTAATATTCCTAGGATAAGGCTTTGTCGATTAGCAGACCTTTTAGGACTTCTTGTAAACGCAATTCTAACTCGTTCAATATTTTCTGGTGTACGAATTGTTCTTCGACGTCCAGGCTTCTTCAAATCTTGTACAGAACCATTTTCACGCCAATGACGAACCCATAACTTAACAGTTTTACGATTTGGCGTGTGACCCCTATTGTTGTTATTAAACTGACGCCGGAATGCACGCCTAACTTCTTCTATCGAATTGCTTCTAATGTAAGTTTCTACACAAAACACACGTTGTTGGACTGAGTAATCCATGAAAGTTCAAACAGATGTTGAAAAAAAATGACGAAACTAAAAATAATATCGAATATTATCTCGATAATAATAATTAATAATTTAAAACTTATNCAGTTTCGTGTCATTATTGTCATGGTGTGCAATCTTACTACTATAAAAATGTAGACCGAGATCTAGTACCCTCACAATCCACTGGATGATGTTGTAGATTGAATTTGCAGCAATCTGCATTATCTACACAAACAAAGCGCTTGTAACCATAGAAAAATTTATGTGTAACGTCAAACTCAGAGGTGGAAGTAAACGTACCGCACGTCTCTCAGTATGGCTAAACCCATATGATTCTAGTTCTAGATCTTGTGTTAGTAAAGTTCTAATGATAGTGCTAGTGTAAAACTAGAACTAACACTAGAACTAGAAAGTTTTGGGTTTAAACCCTATAGGAATTTCTAGACAACCTAAACTCACAGCATCCCATAATAAAATTTACCATGGAAACGGAAACTACAAAACAGTTACCATTCTTGGATATGTTGGTCACTAGGAAGACAGATAGGGGCATAGAACTGGGAGCATATCGAAATAGATACATACGAATAGACGCATACGAAGTTGTTGTTTTGTTTGAAAAATTCATAAGTTTTATCTAGGTATGTTTGTTGATCCATGATAACTATCCTTGTATATTTATCCCCAAGAGTAACTGTGTTTGTGTAAATTTTTTGTTTTAAGGCTTTAACGTCATTAAAATTAACGTTTCTACAGTTTTTAGTAGTACATAATATGTAGTTTATATTTATTCATATTTTTTATTATGAGTTCATTTTCTTGATTGATGTCTTTATAATGAGGATGTCTGTAAAGTTGTGCTTGGATTTCTATTGTATTCTATTGTATTAATTGGGTTAGTTTTGATTTGAATGAAAAATTTATGAGCAAGGTTAAGAATTCTTTTGAATTGAACTTCACGCCATCGATTCTTTTCGAATGGATGGCGCGAAGTTTAATTACATTAAAATATAACAGTTTCAACAATATAATACTTTCAACTCTAACTCGAAATGAATATTTATCAAAAATAGTTTCTTTTCAATACATCGTTTTCTACCTGTCGCTCTCTTGAAGTTAGTTAGTGTCTCTGGCCCTTGACGGTAAATATCTTCTATAGTTTTATAGATTAAATTCAATATAATGTATAAGTTAACTAGCATTCCTGCTTTTGTGCCTAGTTGTGCCCATTGATGCCTGAATGGCGAAACACGTGCCGCACCAATTACATAAATTTAAATAAAACCATCGTTTAAGTCAAATCTAGGCTTTTTTTAAGTTCTAGTGGTAGTTCTAGTAGTAGGTAGCGCTAGTTAGCATAAGATATTACTATGTTGTATATTTTTATTGAACTAAAACTAACACAAGACCTAGAATTAGAATCATTCGGGTTTAGCCGTCTTGAGAGACGTGCGGCTAAATCCGAATGTTTCTACTTCTCGGTCTAGTGTTAGTTCTAATGGTAGTGGTAGGTAGCGTTAGTTAGCATAAGATATTACTATGTTGTATATTTTTATTGAATTAAAACTAGAACGTCTAAAAACGCACGGCTAAACCCGATATTTTCTAGTTCTAGGGTTAGTTCTAGTTTTACACTAACACTCACTAGAACTAACACAAGATCTAGAACTAGACTCATTCGGGTTTAGCCATACTGAATCGTATATTAGACATCTCGAATTTTCCTAGTATAATTTTTGCTTAAATCTGACCAATCTGACAAAATCCGAATTAAAAAATAGAGTATAGTAAGCTCAACGAAACCTTCTCCACCCGAATATGACAAAAACAATTTAGTTGACAATTATACACTAATTAGTTATTATCTTTTGAGCTTGTTTCTGCAGAAGGTTGCAACATGGCATCCAAAACGTCAAATACTTTTTCAAAAGACTTCAAAGTTGTACTGATAGTGCTACAATTACACTGTGTTAATTAATTATCGTAACCCACGTGACCTGTGTAACATTGGCTGCATATCTCAATATGTAGTGGTAGCTTGGATAATTTTAAATTAGTAACAAGACAGCTGATCGTGCGTTATTGTTGTGATTGTCGTGCGCTTTGTGAGTTTCTGTATTTTCTTTGTTCTTTAACCGTTTTTNATTGGCTGCATATCTCAATATGTAGTGGTAGCTTGGATAATTTTAAATTAGTAACAAGATGTTGAGAGCTGATCGTGCGTTATTGTTGTGATTGTCGTGCGCTTTGTGAGTTTCCGTATTTTCCTTATATAATTTAGCCTTTATATTTTTCGAAACAGTTCTTTTTAGAACAATGGTTACTTCTAGCGGTTGCTTTCAGCGGTAAGTCAATAAACAAATCAAAATAACCAAGGACTTTTTAATTGTAAGAATTTTTGAGTAATAGTTATAATTACAGTAGAGCCCCGATTATCCGCGGAATTGGGTGGCAAGGGCGCCGCGGATAATAAAAATCGCGGATAACCCGAAAAAGACTAAAAATAAGGTGGAAACACAAAACATAATTCACCATAAAGACTATTTTACTTAAACCTTTCTTCTACATGTAAATCACTAAAGACTAAAGTAAAGACTAGTAATAAACAAAAAATAATATGTACATATGTATTGTATCACTGTACTGTAAACAAAACTGTACTGTAGACANTTAATTAATTATCGTAACCCACGTGACCTGTGTAACATTGGCTGCATATCTCAATATGTAGTGGTAGCTTGGATAATTTTAAATTAGTAACAAGACAGCTGATCGTGCGTTATTGTTGTGATTGTCGTGCGCTTTGTGAGTTTCTGTATTTTCTTTGTTCTTTAACCGTTTTTTGCTGCCTTTATATTTTTCGAAACAGTTTTTTTTAGAACTATGGTTACTTCGAGCGGTTGCTTTCAGCGGTAAGTCAATAAACAAATCAAAATAACCAAGGACTTTTTAATTGTAACAATTTTTGAGTAATACCTAGTTATAATTATTTCAATTTTTTAACATTATAAAAGTTTTAGAGTAAACTGATGTCTAATTGAACAGATGAGTTTGTTGACTTTTTATATAATCTGTTTTTTATTTAAATCAATTTTCATTGCCAAATTTTTATAAAAAAAACGGTCTGTACCACCCTAGATACCATGTTCTATGACCACGCTTTATAATATTTTCCACTAAATAATAAGT